TATATATATATATATATAATGATAATTTATTAATTTTTATCTTGAAATACTTATTAATTTAATAACATATTATGAAATATTTTAAATTTAACTACATATCTATAAAATTATTAGTTTTAATTATTACCTTTCTGAAATATATTTTAAAGTAACTAATTTAAAAAGAATGAGTATGAATAATAATATAATATTTAACATACTACATCATTTCAAAACTAATATGCATTATCAAAATTGTATAAAAATAAATAAATAATGTGTGTAAATGAATTTTTCATTAAATATAATTAGGTGAATCATTATGATCGAATTAATGATAGAGAGTTAGGTAAGTTGGATTCTTATTATTGGAGAGTTGGGTAGATGCATATACATATAACTTCAATTCATATTGTTGTTGTTGAAAATTTTTCTATTAATTAAAAAAAGCTCATTAAATTAATTATAACTAAATTGCATTATAGTTTCATGTATAATATTTAATCCGTAAATTTAGTTTCTTAATTTTTAATATGTAATTTTAGTTCCTCAATTGTATAAAATTTACACTTTTAAAATTCTTACTAAATATTTATTGATTGATAGTTAAAATTGTAATATTAGTCATGATTTAACATTAAATAAATGATATAACATTTAATATTTCATAATATTTGGGCTAAATTTTATTTTTGGTTCACTTTTTTTATCTCATAAAAGTGATAAGACGAGATGAAAATAAAAATAAAAAGTGAAATTTAGCTTAAATTTTATTAAATTTTAATCATCGTGTTATTTACTTGATGCCGGTTGTGTTTAATGTTATAATTTTAATGATTAATAGATAAATATTTTGTAAAAAGATCAAAATTATAAAATTTATAAAATTAAAGGGCTAAAATTATGAAATTAAAAATTAAGATACTAAAATTACATACTTAACATTATAGAAAAATCAAGAATGTAGTTTAGTCATCAATTAATTACATCATACTAAAGATTAATGTGTGGTTGGAGTTTCAACTAACACGTTTGTTCGAAACTTCAATCATGCATTAATCTTTAATATAATATAATTAAATTATTATTATATATATATATATATACACTCATAAATTATATTGATCTGTATACTAATTTATATATTAACTAGTATTTTAACTTGTGTATTTCACAAGTTTTATTATACATAACTAAATTTTATAATCAGTTATATATACAAATAAATAATATATAAGAATATACGATTATATATAAATAGATATTTTTAAATAAAAAATTATATTTCCAATTTAAGATAAATAATTTTTTTATATTGCAATGTTATACCATTTTTTATTATTGATAATTTATTTAAAAATATTTTAATTTTAATTTATAAATAAATATGATAAATAAAAAATTAAATTTGATAAGATATTAACATAATTCTTAAAAATATATTCTTTAAAGAATAGTCACAAAAATACTATTTCACAAAATAATTATTCACTTTTAATATATAAGAGTTAATTTTTATTCATATACAATTATTAATTAAAACAACATATTGGAATTGTTTTGATTTTAGCTACATATCTATAAAATATTTTTTATTTTAGTTTGGACAATGTAAAAATATTTATTATACATAATTAATGTTTTATGTACTATCCGTACTGTCATGCCAAGCTCGAGCTCGGTATCACAGCGTGGAATAACCTCGGGCACGCACCGGGAGATCTCGGCCTAAGCGAGATCCGCAATATAATCAGATCATAACTGATCTCGGAGATCTCGCTCTAGATGAGATCCGCAATCTAATTAGATCATAACTGATCTCGGAGATCTCGCTCAAGATGAGATCCGCAATCTAATCAGATCATAACTGATCTCGGGGATCTCGCTCCAGACGAGATCTACTATCTAATCAGATCATAACAGATCTCAAAACCTTCAGATCACATCTACTTAACAAGGTCGAATTTGAACCTTCAAACAACAAATTTGGGAACTCCTCAGAATCCCCTTTGCTCTTACATCATTCGGTGCTTGGGGGGCAAGTGTACTGGCCAGCCGAGTTATCGACTTGTTCTTCACCAAACTGCTGACTCGGTCAAAGGTTTACCAGCCTAACCAAGCAGTAAGCTCATTATTGCCGAGCTCCTCAGCTCGACCATGAAACATAGACATTGGAACACCACATCGGCCCAAAAAGGCCACGCCATCAAAACAAATAAAAATACAATCTTGTCGCTGCGCCGCCCACGCGTTATGGGAACGAGGTGACGGCTATGACACATGGCATCTCGACAGGCAGATGTACGCGAAGGGCCACAACCACTTGACGAGCTCGGACTTAACTCCTCGACCTACGGTCTTCGGAGCTCGGGGGGCTTAATATGTAATTTTAGTTCCTCAATTGTATAAAATTTACACTTTTAAAATTCTTACTAAATATTTATTGATTGATAGTTAAAATTGTAATATTAGTCATGATTTAACATTAAATAAATGATATAACATTTAATATTTCATAATATTTGGGCTAAATTTTATTTTTGGTTCACTTTTTTTATCTCATAAAAGTGATAAGACGAGATGAAAATAAAAATAAAAAGTGAAATTTAGCTTAAATTTTATTAAATTTTAATCATCGTGTTATTTACTTGATGCCGGTTGTGTTTAATGTTATAATTTTAATGATTAATAGATAAATATTTTGTAAAAAGATCAAAATTATAAAATTTATAAAATTAAAGGGCTAAAATTATGAAATTAAAAATTAAGATACTAAAATTACATACTTAACATTATAGAAAAATCAAGAATGTAGTTTAGTCATCAATTAATTACATCATACTAAAGATTAATGTGTGGTTGGAGTTTCAACTAACACGTTTGTTCGAAACTTCAATCATGCATTAATCTTTAATATAATATAATTAAATTATTATTATATATATATATATATACACTCATAAATTATATTGATCTGTATACTAATTTATATATTAACTAGTATTTTAACTTGTGTATTTCACAAGTTTTATTATACATAACTAAATTTTATAATCAGTTATATATACAAATAAATAATATATAAGAATATACGATTATATATAAATAGATATTTTTAAATAAAAAATTATATTTCCAATTTAAGATAAATAATTTTTTTATATTGCAATGTTATACCATTTTTTATTATTGATAATTTATTTAAAAATATTTTAATTTTAATTTATAAATAAATATGATAAATAAAAAATTAAATTAGATAAGATATTAACATAATTCTTAAAAATATATTCTTTAAAGAATAGTCACAAAAATACTATTTCACAAAATAATTATTCACTTTTAATATATAAGAGTTAATTTTTATTCATATACAATTATTAATTAAAACAACATATTGGAATTGTTTTGATTTTAGCTACATATTTATAAAATATTTTTTATTTTAGTTTGGACAATGTAAAAACTTAATATTTATTATACATAATTAATGTTTTATAATAAATTATATATACAAATAATTATTATATTTTAATACATGACTTGTATTTGAAATTTATATAAATGCATACTTTTAAATTTATAAATTATAGTGTGTAAAACAAATATAAATTATATATTATATTTATAATAAATAATTTATATTGTGATATAATATTATTTTTAATTATTAATTATTGATAATTTATTTAAAAATAATAAAATCTATAATTTCACTTTTCTAAAATAGGGAGATTCTCTTTAAAAAAAAATATTATTATTATTATTAATTAAAAATTAGTAGTAGAAAATTGAAATAATTTAAAATTAATTTGATATCTATCATTAATTTTATAATTTAAAATTAATTATAATATATATAATTAAATTTAAAATTTAAAATTAATTATAATATGTATCATTAATTTTATAATTATCAGATATTATTGCACTTTACTTTAGAGAAAGTAAATCCTAAAATTTAATTTATATAAAAATATGATAAATAAAAATTAAAATAAATAAAAAAGTTAAAATAATTTTGAAAAATTATCTTATTGCCTAAAAATACTCTCATAAAAAATCTCAATCTCATAAAAATAAAATCTCAAATATCATGTAATTATAGTTATGTTTAATATATAAGGTAGATTTTTTTATTACAAGAGCAAAGAAAGGAAAGAGAAAAAAAAAAGAAGAAGTAAAAGTAGGTGAAATTAAAGTAGTTTGAACAAATTTAGAGAAAAGAAAATGAAAGTGTATCCCCTCTTGTATTAATCCCAACTTGGCATCATTGAGGGTTTTAAAAGGGTCCACCGTGTTCCTCTAGATCGCTAAATGAAGGGTTTCATAACAATGCGCGTTTCAACGTTTCAGGCACCGTCACTCAACCCTTCGCCGTCACTGCCTCCATCCATACGCCGTTTGAAACTCCACAATGTCCCAAACGCCGTCTCCTCCCACACTCACAGGCCCCTCCGCATTCGCGCCATGGACGCGGCCCAGCCCTTCGACTACGAGTCCAGAGTGGCCCAACAGTTCCACGACTCGCAGAAGCTCAAGATCGCCATCGTGGGCTTCGGCAACTTCGGGCAGTTCCTGGCCCAAACCCTCGTCCGCCAGGGCCACACCGTGCTGGCCCACTCCCGCTCCGACCACTCCCGCGCGGCCCGCCAACTGGGCGTCACGTTTTTCGCGAACCCTCACGACCTCTGCGAGGAGCACCCCGAGGTGATCCTCCTCTGCTCCTCCATAATCTCCACGCAGCGCGTGCTCCTCACGCTCCCGCTCCAGCGCCTCAAGCGCAGCACGCTCTTCGTCGACGTTCTCTCCGTCAAGGAGTTTCCCAAAACCCTCCTCCTCCACGCGCTTCCCTCCGACTTCGACATTCTCTGCTCTCACCCCATGTTCGGCCCCGAGAGCGCCTCCCACGCCTGGACCGGCCTCCCCTTCGTCTTCGAGAAGGTTCGAATCGCCGACGAGGACCACCGACTCGCGCGCGTGGACAAGTTCCTCGACGTCTTCGCCAGGGAAGGGTGCAGGATGGTGGAGATGAGTTGCGCGGAGCACGATAGGTTCGCGGCGGGGTCGCAGTTCATCACGCACACCGTTGGTAGGGTTTTGGAGATGCTTATGCTGGAGTCCACTCCGATTAACACTAAGGGATATGAGTCTTTGTTGAATTTGGTCGATAATACTGCTAGGGATAGCTTTGACCTGTATTATGGCTTGTTTATGTTTAACAAAAATTCGCTTGAGATGTTGGAGAAGATGGATTTCGCTTTTGAGGACCTGCGGAAACAGCTCATGGGACGGTTGCATAATGTTGTCAGGGAGGAGTTGTTTGATAGTTCTAAGAAGGTGCACAGTTTGCAAGATAACTATGAACTGCTCAAGGTTCCTCAGAATGGATCTGAACCTGCACTGTCGAAATTGAGGTGATTATTTTGTTTTTTGAACATTGAGTTCAGTTTCTATGCATTACTAGTCTAAAATGTTTTGTACTGTTACCCAATCAAAATCATGGTAAGTTTGACTTGACTTTTATTATAGTTATAGTAAAAGTCAACAAACTTGTCATAAAGATATTTGGATACAAGTTTAGAGGTGCTTTTGATTACTTATCTATTAGAAAATGTTTTTTTATTTCCGATAGAGAAATTCTCAGAAATGCTTTTACTCATATATGGAAGTTTGTAATTGAACGGCATTGTTAATATTGTGATTGATTGATGGTGTATACACTATTTACTCTAATCTCATTGTTGTTTAGTACATTACAAGAACATGGATTTGTTTTTAATTCTTTTTTTGGGGGGCGATGTAAGGGCAACTTAGCTTTGTTGTTATGATTTATACTATTTTCTGTTTTGAATTGGCTTTATCTTCACATGACTAAAGATTGTTCTTGCAATGCTATTGCTAGTCAATAATGACCACTTGTAGGGGCTAGGGAGGATTAAAACTGCTATTATTTTTGTTTTTTGTTCTATTTAGGGGTTGGTCCTCCTGGTCAAGTCTAATTATAGTTACGTTTTATGTTAATCTTCAGATTTGGTGATGTTGGTAAACTCGTCAAATACAATTCAAATGGTTCACATCATTCTGATGACAAACCCAAGCTTAAGATTGCAATTGTTGGTTTTGGTAACTTTGGTCAGTTTCTTGCAAAAACTATCGTGCGACTTGGTCATCAGGTGTTAGCATACTCTAGATCAGACTACTCTCATGTGGCTCAAGAATTGGGGGTTTCATATTTCAATAATGTTGACGATCTTTGTGAACAACATCCTGAAGTGATTTTACTTTGCACTTCAATCCTTTCCACGGAGAAAGTTCTTAAATCCTTGCCTATGCTGAGATTGAAGAGAAGTACTTTGTTTGTTGATGTACTTTCTGTCAAAGAATTTCCTAGAAACTTGTTTCTTCAACATTTGTCACCTGATTTTGATGTTCTCTGCACTCATCCTATGTTTGGGCCAGAGAGCGGAAAAAATGGGTGGAATGGTCTTCCTTTTGTTTATGATAAAGTTAGAGTAGGAACAGATGAAGCAAGAATGTCACGATGTGATCGGTTTCTTGAAATATTTTCTAGTGAAGGGTGTCGAATGGTTGAAATGACATGTGCTGAACATGATTGGCATGCAGCTGGATCACAATTTATTACACATACTACAGGAAGATTTTTAGAAAAGCTAAAATTGGAGGCTACACCAATTGACACAAAGGGCTATGAGACTTTGTTGAGTTTGGTGGAAAATACTGCTGGAGATAGTTTTGATTTATACTATGGTCTGTTCTTGTATAATATAAATGCCATGGAGCAGTTAGAAAGATTCGATTTGGCTTTTGAGTCATTGAAGAAGCAGCTTTTTGACCGTCTACATGATGTGTACCGAAAGCAAGTATTTAAATATGAAGAGAAGCTCCATGATTTTTCAGAGAGGTCCATGTTGCTTAGGATATCTGAAGATAATAATCCAGGGTCATCTTTTTCTAATACTGTGGACAATAAATGAAATTGATTTACCCGACTTGCCTCTCTTTGATAATTATCTGGATCTTACTTAATTTGTTAGTAGATTTATATAAATTTGTCATTTCTAGAGGCTTATATGCAGTTTTTTTTGAAGTTGTGTTGATCTGCTTATTGAGATGAAAACAAAAATGAGTTTTGAAATTTTGGATTTATATTTTAATCCCCAGATATTTTTATTTTTCAACATTTTTACTCTGTTCCTATTTTTATCTTGCTGAATTGACACTTAAAGGAGCTCGCATGGTCATATTTTTGTGTCCCATTGTTCATGACAATGAGTGCAATAGAGTTATAAATGTATAGAATCTTTAGATGAGAGTTTGATCACTCTAGGAATGATTTAGGAATGCAAATATTTACTTCATTGTTGTCCATCTGAAAGTTGGATAAGATCCTTTAAAGTTTAAACTAGTATGATCATCTGATACTAAATGGCCTTGGTAAAGGAGAGCTTAGAAAATTGAAGCAGGAGATAAATATATGGTTATTTCTCGTTCAAGTTTAATTTATCTGTCATCAATAGTCAGTTTAGTGTGTTTGAATGTTGACTAAATTCAGGCTGCTCTGAATTTGGTTTGGGGAAGAGAGAGAGATTGTGATCAAGGGTCATCTTTTACCTGATAGGTATTGGGGATTTCACTCTTTAATTTAGTTATCACTTGGAAAATAATTCTGGTTCTGGAATTACTATTTCTTTTTATTCTTCCTGGAATCACTCTACAACATACTCAGTTTTGTGTTGTAATGCTTCAAATCGTAATGTGTAAAATCTAGCTATTATTTTCTAAACCATAACTGAGAGATGGAAACCAAAAACCAAACACACAGAACATCGATCAAGTTCTTCCCATCTGGGTGTCTGTCTATATGGACATAAATCTTCAACTTGTGAAATTGACTGTACAATAATTAATACAGCAACCACTTTTTCCTTTGTGATTTATTATGGCAGAAGATTAAGGTAGCATGCACATAGCGACGTGTGCTTCTGCCTTGTGGAGTTACATACAAAGTTTGAGATTGTTGTCCCGGAATAGAATCACGAAGGAATGAAAATTGTGGCCATGGTGCGAGAGATTGGAGCTTCAATCTTAGTGGTTGAAATTCATGATCATAGTTTTCTTTACAGGTAAGTCCTATGCCAAATGTTTCAGTTTTGAACACAATTTCATGAAGTATTATCAGTACAGGTAAGTCCTATGCCAAATGTTTCAGTTTTGAACACAATTTCATGAAGTATTATCAGTACCAAATTCAGTAGTTGGGGTGCATGATATTGATGATGTGATCACTATCTAATACATGATTACCTTTCCTATCCTCCTAAAACATATTAGTTGATTGAATGTTTTGCAAACATAAAAAATAATTCTTTAGTTTCAGTAAGTAATTATGAAGGTAAGGAGTTACTCATCATTTCATCTCGGGAGTTGTCTTAACAGAGCTATTTAAATCCGGAACAATGCTATCCGAATAGGGCAAAGATATATGCATTTGGGTAAGAACCGTAAGATAATTAAAGCGTTGCCTCCACCAATTAGAGTTACGGAAACTATTCAACTACATTTGAAACACCCGTTGATTCGTTTTACTAGTATATAAGTTTTGCCACCTTTTTGCTTTTGTGTGTGACACTTGGCGTTTTTGCGAATAAGTTTTTTGTACAGACTTCTGCTCAGTTCTTCGAACTTCCTTTTTACTTCATGTCTACCAAACAATGTGTAAACAGTAACTACCACATACTTTCTTCCTCTTCCCTCCATCTGACTTTTGTGCTACTGAACGGAGCGTAAGTGTGCATACTAGTGTTTTCGTTAATCTTCTATGTTTATTTTTCCTTATTTTAATAGCTTTGCACAACCTATTTTGCAGGAAAAGCTTCAACTAGATATTTTGGATTTTTGAAGAATATGCTTGAGCCACTTTTTGATGGAAGCCTGCCAAATATGAACATATGCACGGGAATTTTGAAGATTTTGAATTTGAATGGTGTACTGAGTTGATACCATTATATTATTTTAGGTGCAATTAGTTTTAGCAAAGATTATTTAGCATCTCATTCAGTTGTCTTGCTATGCAGTTTTCCTTACACCTAGCTAAGGATCGGGTTAATAGGTTGCCAGTGTACATGTCCTTAAGACCATTTTAAGTTGATTTTAATTTTGTGCACGGGTGAATGTCCATCTAATTTTAAATCGGTGCATTGACACCAAGATAATGACTTTCTTCTCAACTACTCATTCATTGGACCAAAAAGTTCATACTCACTCGTCTCTTCGGCAAATTCCTTAGGTGTCGTAAGTGTATTTGTAATCTCTCCGCACTTACTGTCAAAACTGTTGTGTAGAGCAACCAACAACAGAAAAAAAAAATGGTGATTGATATTATAGTTCTATCCAAAGTTGACTAATTGTTGGTCTATTGACATGTCTATATTTTTTTGTTTTTCAGTATGCTTTTATTTTTTCTCGAGCTAAAAATAAACAAAATTACACAATTAAGTTAGTCTACTATCATGGCAACGTGTGATACCCCTAAAATTTTGTATGTTTTTTAAATAAAATTATAAGATCAAAATAAAAAAAAAAAATTGTTTTTTTTTATTATGATTAAAATTAGTAATTCAAAATTTTATGAAATAAACAAAAATTACAAAGAATAAAATCAAAACTTGTTGTATGGACTAAAAGCATATATCTAAACTTTCTAAAGGCAATTTGGTGAGGGAGAAAGAAGCATATCTGAGTGAGTGAGAAAAAAGGTGGTGGGCTAGGAAGGAAGCAAAGGGCCCAATGGAAGAACATGAAGCCGACTAACTAAGGTGAGTGAGTGAGTTGGGCTTGGGAGGCTGAGGCTGAGGCTGAGGCTGAGGCTGGCTAAAAACTCAAGTATTAGTATTTGGCTTTCATTTTCTCTTCTCTTTCCTCTTTATATTATACAAATAAATAAAAAAGAAGGTTTTAGGCTTTTAGCGGAGCGAAGCGAAGCCGTGTAAAGCTTAAAGAGCAGATCTGATCTACCTTCAGCCACGCCGCTCTCGGCTCAGTCTCAGATCGCAACGAAAATTGAATTATGAACTCTCCCTCTCGGGTATGCCCAATTCTCAATTCCCTATTTTCCCACACTTTGATATATGCTCATGCTCCGTTTCTTGCTGATCAGACAGGTGACCGTTGGTGATGCTAATAATTACATGGACTGGCCTGGGGTTAACAATCACTTCAGAACTTACAAAGGTACACCTTTTACCAACTGGGTCCTCATAAAAACTTCAACTTTTTCATGTAATATTCGCGTTAAGGATTTGGGGTCTTACCTTACTCTATTGCTTCTCATGTCTGTCAATCGTTTTCCGTGGCTGTGTTCTTAGTAGACGACCAAAAGTCCATGATGGATGTGGCACTCATTTCAAACATGGATCCTGTAAATATTGGGCTGGGTTGTTCTGATAAGCCGGCTCCTGTCACTCCACTCAAGCCAAGAAAGAAAACAATGACATCCGTCTATTTGAAGTTCTTTGAGACAGCTGCTGATGGCAAGACTAGGAGATGCAAGTTTTGTGGACAGAGCTATTCTATTGCAACCGCCACAGGTTATTACTCTTCTTTATTCATGCTTGCCTCAATTCATGGGGTGCAACTTATAACTTATATATGGGCAACTTCACTTAATACCAATTGATTTTAAGATGAAATCTAACATGATACAATAATCTATAGCTCATTTGGTAAATCGTATATTCTGGTAGGCTTGCCTGATCTAGTAGGCATTTGTGGAGGAGGAATGTTGGAAGGTCTCACATCGCTTACCTCAATTCTTGGGATGCAACTAATATATTTTTTGGACAACTTCACTTAATGTCAATCAGTTTAAGACAGAATCTAACAATCCAATACCAACTTTATTATGTAAAGATTACAAACATATAAATTGTAGCATCCTTGGTTACAAATATATATATTCCTAGCAACTGTTCTTACAAATATATATATTCCTAGCAACTGTTCTTACTTATACAATCACTAAAGTTCCTTTGTTCGTGAAGGCAATTTGGGAAGGCATCTAGCTAATCGTCACCCAGGTTATGACAAGTCTGGGGATGCTGTCAGCAATTCAGTGGTGCGGACGGTTGCTGTGGTCAAGAAGTCTCAGCATCAGGGAAAAGCAAGCCAGGTGGATTATGATCATCTAAATTGGTTGCTCATTAGGTGGCTTGTTTTAGCTTCTCTCCCTCCTTCTACTCTGGAAGAGAAGTGGCTTGTGAATTCCTACAAGTTTCTAAATCCAGCTATACAACTCTGGCCAAGTGACAAGTATAGAACTGTTCTTGATGAAGTTTTCAGAAGCATGAGGGAAGATGTAAGAGCATTGTTGGAACAGGTTCCTTCCAAGTTGTCCATTACACTTGATTTCTGGACCTCCTTTGAACAGATTTACTTTATGAGTGTAACATGTCAGTGGATCGACGAAAACTGGTGCTTCCAGAAGTTGCTTCTTGATATCTGTCGCATACCCTATCCATGTGGGGGTGCAGAGATTTATCGTTGCCTCATAAAAGTTCTTAAATTTTACAATATTGAAAACAGAATCCTGTCCTGTACCCATGATATTAGTACAAGTGCTATGCATGCCTGCCATACTTTGAAAGAGGACTTGGATGGTCAGAAAATAGGGCCGTTCTGTTATATTCCTTGTGCTGCTCGAACTTTGAATATGATAATAGATGATGGATTGAGGTCTGCGAAACAATTAATTTCTAAGATACGGGAGTTTGTTATTGAGTTAAATGCCTCACCAATGATCTCTGAGGATTTTATTCAGTTATCCACAGCTTATCAAGAAGGTACTTGGAAATTTCCTCTTGATGTTTCAGCAAGATGGAGCGGAAACTACCAAATGCTTGATCTTGTCCGCAAGGTATGTCATTATATTTCAATTGCTTTAGTTAATGAGCATAATAACCATTAGAGGAAAAGGTACTCAAGCGTTGCAGTACCATGATTTACTGGACAAAACTTGGTTTTGAAGTGGCTTTTCATGCATGAAGTGTTCCATATTTGCTCTAGTATAATATCTTTTAAGAATTTTTCTCTTTGCTGATGAATTCAGCCTGTGTTGATGTTGATATTTCAATTTGTCATTTACTACAACAATGTAGCATGGTATGTCATTCGTGTGAATAGAATCGTAAGAATATATTTTGATATCTTGTGTATGTGATGATGCATGCAATCAAATTATCAAAATCGGATAAATGGAACCGTGGTAAAATATCGTTTATATTTTATGATGCAGGCAGGTAAGTCAGTGGATGCTGTTATTCGTAAATACGAGGAAATGCTGGGCAGTAGGATGCTGCTGGGATCTTCTGACAAAAGTGTGGTTAACATCATGCATCAATATCTTGAACCATTCTACAAAACCACAAACAACATCTGCACAAGTAAGTTGCCAACAGTTGGGCTCGTCCTTTTCTTCATGGATCACATTTCAGAAACCATTACTTCCTGCAGAGAATCACGTCACAGCCCAGATTGGCTCAAAAATGCTGCAGAAGAAATGGCTAAAAAGGCCAGAAATTATATTAATCAGGTTTGCAACATATTTACTTATATGACAGCAATTCTAGATCCTCGAATAAAGGGAGAGCTGATCCCAGATAGTTTAAACTCGGAAAACTTTTTGGATGAAGCTAGAACCCATTTTATTAGAAATTATTCAACCAGCCATTTCTCATCCATGAGTTCTGGATACAATGGTCAAGAAATTGAAGATGGGGGAAGTGTTTCCTTTGCTGAGGAAATAGCACGCAAGAAGCGAAGGACAAGCATGAGTTCTGCCACTGACGAGCTTACACAGTATCTATCAGAAGCTCCAGCTCCAATACCGACTGATGTTCTAGAGTGGTGGAAGGTCAACAGTACACGCTACCCTCGACTATCTGTGATGGCTAGAGATTTCCTGGCGGTGCAGGCAACTTCAGTTGTCCCAGAAGATCTTTTCTGTGGAAAGGGTGATGAAATTGACAAGCAACGATTCTGTATGCCACATAATAGCACACAAGCTATTCTTTGTATCAAGTCATGGATTCAGGTTGGCATCAAGTTTAAGTTAAAATCAACTGAGATAGATTATGAGAGGTTGATGGAACTGGCAGCTGCAGCTGCTCCAACAGATAATAGTCCTGCAAGTTCAGACAAGAAGCAAAAATAATAATTGAAGATGGCAGCAGTAAAGGGTGACAGAGTAATTGATTAACAAGCATCGTTATTGCCACTGTTAGATTATATCTTGACTTTGGCCTATTGCCACTTCAACTTAGAAGGGGTACTGCGGGCGGGTGTTTTGTTCTTTAAAAACTCGTCGTTGTATCATATCATATTAATATAATTATGTTGTACAGTTATGAATTCTGGAAATTACTATTAGCCCAGAGAAAAATCAAATATGACATAACTCTCCCCACTACGTCCTGCTTGATCAGTGTCCACCCCAAGAAAACGTATATTAATGTTGAACGGAGGCTACATACAGAGAAGGCTATGGTCTATGGATTTAAAACTAGTGTCCCTTTCACTTTATCAAAAATGTCACCTTTTTATTATTATTATTATTATTATTATTATAGTTGTTTGTTTGGATCTTGCACCATAACTGAATCAGACGCTATATGCATGACAGTTGAAATAGTAAAAAATAGACATACATTTAACAAACGGATTTTTTTAAGACACTGATTTTTATTTTGACTAGTAGGAGAAAAGATATTCCATGCTATTATTAAAAGAACAGAAAATAAGTGAACAGTTAACTTTTCATTACATATTCTTTTTTCTATTTTATTCTTCAGGACAATTTGACAAAAAAAAAAGGATTTCAATATAATAAAGGGGGGAATTAAATATAAATTTCTTTTGATTATTATCATAATAGACAATTATCATATTATGATGTATCGACGTATACATGACTTGCAAGTCCGTCTTCATACTTCAGGTTCCGGGCACCCTGTAAATTTCAGGCAGAGCTCCGGCATACTGCTAAGTGCTAAGTGCTAATAAAAATATAGCCGATCAAATCGGTGGCTTGTACAAATGTGACTAAAACCCATTATCTATGCTGTATGCACAATGGCCTAGTATCCTGTTATTCTGACACCAAAAGTTATTACAATGCTGACAACTTTCTGGACCAAAAGAGAATAAATAAATAATTATAAATTGAAATTAAATGCATCTCCAAAATTGCTGGGAGTAGAAAGCCTAAAAACATTCACTAATTAAAATTCAAGTATATAAAAAATTCCATTAATCTAAATCCATGAAGACTGTTAAGACCACTTTCTGGCTTCTGCATATCTAGAATAACAAATGCTCTCGTAGATATTCCCGTACTATTACAGGCACGCTTGTAGGAGGGACCTGTAACACCAACAATAAGAATAAATTCAAGATTGTGAAACTAGTAATTATGCAGAAGCGAGATTAAAAGCTTAGGAGAAAGGAAATTTTCCCAATATACTGGCAATTATATTTTTATTATGTCTGTTGTGTAATATTTTTAATTTATATAAATTTTAAAAATATTTCTATTATGATCAATATGTCAAAAAATTTCATATTACTTAAGAATTCATACTAAAGATAATTTATAAATATCTTCCTTTCTTAATTTATTGATACACCATTTTAATGGCAAAATTATGACAACTCATCAAACATTAAAATGGACATGTCAAAAATATTTCAAATTATAAGAAATCAGATAATTAATGCAAATGAATAAATAAAATATAAGTAACTTAAGCTTAGAAAAATAAGTGTTTAAAAAATTTTAGAGTACAAGTAGTTAAGATTTGAGACAATAAAGGAAAGTTTTAATATAAAAAAAAAAACTAATTTTTTAGATGAAAAATAAAAAATTCTTAATTTAAAAGAATTTTGAAAGCGATTAATAATTTGAGAGATTTTAAAAACTATATAAATAAGTACCAAATAATGGTGAAGTCATGTTAGGTGTGATATAAAGCAAAAGAGAGTATTTCATGAATGATACTCAAAATCATAATAAAGGGGCTGATTTAGGACTAGAAAACTTCATTTTTCAAACACCAACAGGCTGTTTGTGACACCCGTCCCATTCGAAACCCTTTCTTAACGATGACTGATGAACCAGTCTCGCAACACTACCATCAAAACTTTACAGTGTACAATAATTAACTTACAATGCCATAATCTGTCACAATAACCGAGACATAATCCGAAGGAGTAGCATCATACCTGTCAGTGAAAATAAACTCAGTGATAACCATTTCTTCATTTCTTGGGGGATAAGATGTTCACACAAATGAAATATATTAAGCTTACATCAAATTCAAAAGCTTCAAATTGTCTTCACTGGCCCAATTTTTCAGATAATCGACATCCATTCGTCCAGCAACCCTGGCAATAGCATCTGGATCGCCTGCAAGCAATTTGAAGTTTATCAACAGACAGTTACAAAATTATGAGAGCATGTATAAAGACCACTCTTAAAAGAGGTTGACGTCAATAGAATTGGGAGGAAGATGCCCCGTTTATTCATATAACAATACTTGATAGCAGTAAAAGAAATTCCATCCCAATCCCCCCTTGATACATAAAGAAAGTTTATACTGAAGTGAAAATGTAACATTAACAAGCTGATATAACAAAATTACCTAGTTCGTTAGAACATATTGAATCGAGTAGCACCCTCTCATGAAATTTATATGCTTCACAACAGATTAATACAGGAACACGAAATGCATGAGCCACCATTGCAACACAAGAAGTCCCAACCCTTGAATAGACAGTTCCATCAGAAAAAACTGCAGAAGCTCCCAGAAGAACTCGAGTGACCTCATGCATGATATAAGAAACAGCATTTATATGAATATATGTGCAACTCAGGCCCTTAGCCACTAGCCCACGAAGTAAGGCCTGACCTTCAAGCCTTGGCCGTGAATCTACCACCACAACACGGAACTGTTTTCCCAGCTCATGGGCATATAAAAAAGTCATCTCAACAACACATGACAATCCATATGTGAGAAGCACATCCCCATCCTTCACCTTTGTAAAAGCATGTTGGACAATCACCTTATCAGCGAGAACTATCTTTTCATTTATGAACCGGTCAATATCAGAACACAGGGCTGCTTTTGCCTCAAACTCGGAATGACTTAAAGGAAGATTGACAATACGACTCTTTACAAACCTAATTGCATTTCCCATGCTCATAGAAAGTGGTCTACATTCCGTAAAGAAAGATACATAACTATTGATTTTTGAAGTTAAATCCCTAACAAGGACCTTTTCATGTGGTGTGCAGTAATCTCTAATGGCATCTTGAAATGCCCTTAGCATTGCAATACAACGAGCATTACCCCCTGATATATCTCCTGTTGAATAACGCAGTCCAACCTGAAAATTAAATATGACAATGAGTGCCGTATCTTGATTGCTATTTATGTCTTAAGTTTACTTTCATTTGAAGAACTCCCTATGTTGTTCGAAGCTCCAAAAAGAATTTCATGACTCACACATGCTATTTAGTAATGATAGCATCCAAACCATTGGCTAGAAAATCTCAGGAGAAAGGAAAATTAAAATGAGATATAGAAGCTGTAGCTTTTCAAAGGGCATCAGAAATCCCAGGTTTTGCATGGTTTGAATGACAAGGGAATATTATGATGTGAATTTCTCATCCAAAGGAACAAAATGTGAATACCCAGCACACCATGCATATTTACATCGGTGAACATGCATATTTGAAGCATGAAAATATGGGCATACAATTGAAGTTTAAATATATTTGACAACGTCAAGGATTTTGAAAATATACCTTATGGCATTAAAAGTAGGGTGATTATACTGACAAACTACTAGAACATTATCAAAAGGATTGGAGATTCAATATGAAATAAGAATAATTAATGGATAACAGAGCAAAGATATGCAAACATAAATAATGAAATATTGTGAATAAACAGAATAATTTGTTAACAATGGCAGCATTCATTTTCAGATCACACATGTAACTGTTCTGGTCTACAATAGATGTCATATGCATTATTTCCAAATGAGTACCTCTAATACAGCAGGATGTACTAAATCATTGTGGAAAAACTTTGATTCGAGATTAGAAAGCTGAGTCCTGTGTTCATATTGAGGCAAATGCTGAAATAATTCAACTCCGTTTCCAGATTCAGTTGGATTGACCACTCCACGCTTTCTAGCCCTTTCCATTTGGCTTTTGCTGCCAAATTGAATTTGGGGAGGAGGAGCATCCTTTTTCCTATCTTTCTCCAAAGAACGATCTCCTGCTTTCATATCAGTATCCCCAGGAGACGCACAGGGAGGACCACCTTTCTTTTCCGATGACTGCTTTGTACTTTTACCCTGGGCAGCTCTATCAGATTCACCCACTGCTTTACTTCCCTCACCTGGATACAGAACAACAATCAAAAGCATAAGCACAAGTACAAAAACTATATGAAGGGAAACCAAGTATTTAAAGTTACTGGTTGTCGCAACTGAACTATGTAACACATTAAAAACCATCTGCTAAGAAACTGAATATCATATTATCTCTTACAAGGCTCAACATAGTATATAATACAAATTTAATATAATTGCATTGAATCAGTAAAACAAAAAGTAAAAAGCAACAAAAAAAAACGATGTCCTAAAATACATGCAACCCAAAACGAAACACGCTTAAAATTATTGAAATTACATGTGAGCATCATTGAAACATAGAATCATAGGTTTTATAATCCATAACATCGATCTAAAATTCAAATTAGAGGGAAAAAAAAGGATAAATTGCAATTAGAAAATCCCTAAACAACCTTTAAAAGCCGCTTTGGCAGCTCTCTGTGCCTCCTGCAAGGCTCGTCTCTCAGCTTTGGTAGTTTTAGCCTTCAAAGGCTTTGAACTTGATTGCAGAGACTCTTCCTTTTTTTCTATAACAAGTGAAACCAACGAATAGAGTATAATTCACGAATCATGCATTTCCACATTAAATAAAATGGCAATTCAATTCAATTTTTACCAATGGCAGTGACGAGGTTTGGATTTTTCGAGGAATCGAAGTCCCCGGATATCATGTGGCGGTCGCCGGAATGACGTGACGGAGGAATCGTGGTGGCAGAAGAATCAGAAGCGAGCAATCCGACGCAACGGATATTGTGGTCGCCAGAGCTCCGAGTGACACGTGGTGCATCCATGTGAGAATAATGTGTGTGTGTGTTCAGTCAACTACTACAAATTTGGAGTTTGTTATATAAAGAGGAGGAATTAGGGTTTGCGTTCATTTGGGATTGGAGGCTTTTCGGTTTCAAGAGTTGCGTTGTTACCACGTTCTGTTTCTGGCCGTTATTTCATTGCCCTAGGGGCGGGAATCGGGTTTTTATTTATTTATTTATTTATTATTATTATCATCTTTCTGACCTAAGAGTTATGACACCAGATAAAATCGAGTATACTATTTTAAGATCATGTATTTGTAATTTTTGATATGCAAATGTTCAATTTTTTTTTTTCATAGAATCATCAAATCAGGAAAGACTAAATTATTAAAATAAAATGTATTTAATATTTTAACTAAATTCCACTTATAGTCTCTTCATAATATTAAATATAAAATTTTTGTTATTTTATTTTTAAATTTACTACTTTTAAAAATACTTTTTACATTACAATTTAATAAAAGTTATCATTTATAATAATTTTATTAACTTTTACCAAAATTACTTAAAAGTTGTACATAATTCCATATCATGATTTTTTATTGTTTTATAGTATAAATTTTTTTATTATTTTACTAAAATATCACAAGTAAGCATATATATATATAGAGAGAATGAATCATTTTACTTCAGTAAACTTACTCTGTTCAATAACTCATGTTCTGCATCAAATTTCAACGATCCAGCCGTTCAATTTAAAGTTCTTAATGCATAGATCAAATTTATAAATTTTTAAAAAATTTGAAAATTATTTGATACTTCATTTCATTAATTCAAATTGACAGATAATCATAAAATCATTTTATACATTGATTCAAATTAATGAAACGAAGTATTAATTCAATTACTTGCAAATTCATTTTTATTATGTTATAAATATGAAATATTTATCAAATTTATAATGATTATTTATTGTTGTGTAACGATTTATGTTAGGTTTTTAAAGGTTAAATATAAGCTTAATTTCATGTAAATCAATAATATATTGATTCAAATTCACCATTATACATTAAATTATAAAAATGTATTAATAATATATATATATATATATTATAAACTAATTTATCAGAAAATATACACTAATATTATTAAAAAATTATATTTTTTTGACTCATCACTTAGATATTTAAGTATAAGATGTTTTTTTTAACTATATACAAAATTAAGGCTAATTTTACGACTAAATCAACAAACATTATAGTTCATATGTTTATTAGGGATACAAATCTTAAAGCTAGTCTTTATAATAACAATTACATACCTTATGTGTTCTTGAACAAATTATTAATGAAAAAGTTAAATATGTTGGAATAAAAAAAAAAACTACTAGCCTAGTTTCATTTGAATGCATAATATAGTAGTACAAATTTATCATTATCTTTTAAATTATAAAAAAAATATTGAAATCATATATCTATTAAACTCGATCTATTTTATGATAAGACAAAATAAATTTTACTAACATTAATTTCTTTACACATGTGCACATGCACACATATTTTAATATATTATTTAGTGAATAGTCAATTTTATATTAGAAATATATGTTATTATCCTATTATGAAACTAATAATCATTTTTATCCTAGAAATTATACTTTATTATGAAACCAAAAAAATTCTAATAATTTTATGTATCCTTATAAAATTCATCTAAATTCGTAGAGTTAACAATTTTTTTCCTTAAAATATGTTATTATTATTATTTTAAGTCCTTGGATCTGAGATCAAAATGAAAAAAAAGGTAATTAATATTAGATATTTAAATGAAACTCTAAAAAAATTAGTTGTATATTTAAATTTATTTTATCAATGACTCATATAACAATGAGATACAATTTTAGAGATTACATTAAATATTTATTTTATATTTTTATAAAGATCAGATATATCAACAAGTTCCTGAATTTAAAAAAAAAATGAATTTGATTTTTAAACTAAAAAAATTATCATTGTTTCTTTGATATTTTATAATTTATACAACAAGTCTATGAAGTTGGTTATTGACACCTTGAAACCACTAGAAAAGTAATAATTTATAAAAATTTTACTAATTTCATAAATTTAATTACAAAAATTGTAAAAATAAATAATTATAATATATATATATTTAATTTAAGGATCTTAAAATTTGTCCAAATAACATATATCTTTTATGAGAAATAATATGTTGTTTAAATCAAATAAAATTATTATATAGATGATAATACATATTAACACATTTGCATACTTAATATTTAAAGCACGAAATAATTGATTAAATTGAGTTGGCAGAAGAATCTTATTAGTTAATTAACATGCATAAGCATAGGACCTAAAACTTTTATAAATATATGATGATTTATTATTTATTTATTTATTTATTTTAAATTTGAATAGAGTAGCAATATTTGAATAGCGAACTTTTCAGTCATTTATCTCTAATTTATTTGTGTTCGTATTACATTGGCTCACCATGGGGTATATAGGTTGTGGAGAAATTGAATAGCATTGGAAAATGGGCGACAATAGTGGCAGAGAAAAAGTCTGAGTGTTATGGAGTGATCCATCCACGTACCCCCTTGCATGTCACCAAAATAGCACTCTTCACCCCACACATGACACGTGTCTGTCTTACACTCTCCCCCTTATTACATCTCTTTCTTTACTCCTTACTCTATGCCCTTACTTACTCTTCTCTCATCACACAAATTAAGAAACTATCGTAATCCTCCGCCATGCAGGCCCAAGCCCACAGGCCCAGCCTCTCGGCCACGTTCCTCCGGAGACTCCAAGAACGGGCCCCGCACTCCAACCACCTCTGCGGCGTCCTCACCCTCCTGGCCACCGCCTCCGTCCTGCTCATCCTGGCCGGCCTCACCGCATCCGGAGCCGTACTCGGCCTCATGGTTTTCCTGCCTTTCATAATCGTCTCCAGCCCCCTGTGGGTCCCCGCTGCCACCATTCTCCTTGTCTTCACCGCCGCTTTTTTATCCGTCTGCGGATTCGGCCTGGCCACCGTCGCTGCCTTGTCATGGATGTACCGTTACTTCCGTGGCCTCCACCCGCCCGGTTCGGACCGGGTCGACTACGCTCGGAGCCGGATTTATGACACCGCTAGCCACGTCAAGGATTGCGCCAGAGAATACGGTGGCTATTTGCAGAGTAAGGTTAAGGATGCTGCCCCCGGCGCCTGAACACACATTCCGATCGTCTCAGGGTGTGTAATAACTGTAGAAATTCCGTCAACTTTATTTGTTCTTTTCATTTTTTTTTCATTTTTATTTTGTCTGTACTTTCTGACTCTACACTTTATTCCATTCATTTACGGCCTTGTTGATCTGCTTCCACGTGTATTTTTATTTTGATCCCAGCGACAATTATGTCTCTTTCCGCTGTTCTTGTCGGTTATATATGTTTTAGTTTTACAATTCAGAAGCTAAGGGAGAAAGTAGTTGTTATATTATTAATATCGAGTTCAATACTTTTTTTTTTTAATATTTTATGAAAATGACTATTCCATTTCATAATGTCAGTGTATATCATGTGATGCAAGTTATTTATTTTTGGGAAGATCTTTAGTTAAAATCATGTGGTTGATTTAGGTGGAAAGAAGTGAAAGATAAGAAACAAAGAATATAAGTGATGGGAAAAAATAAAGGTTGTAAGAAGAAGATATATGATATGATGAGAACATGAATGTTTATTATAGAAAATCAAAAATGTTTGTGATATGAATGTTTAGAATAAAAATCTTTTTGACTTAGCTGGATGCTACTGTGTGTCTTTCTCATGAAGCAAATATGTTGGCAGACTGTTTGGCTAACCCTTTATCGGGTCTGTTATATTTTACAGCTCATTTTGTGATTCCTCACCCTGAAACCATTGCGGTAAACATATGGGATAGGTCTCTGTTAGGTTAGTTCTGTTTCTTTTGATTTTGATTTTCAATGAACCAAGTAATAATAATATTAATAATAACTTTAAATGAATTTTTATATTATTTTTGTGTTTAAAATCGGGTTTTTTGTTATAGCAAGTTATATAACTAATTTTAGTTATAATCACAATATTCATAAATAGTTACTAGTTACTAAATGATTATGATTAATTTATTAAATTATCTATGTATGGGCACTCCTACTTCTAATAGATGAAATCGATGACATAATCTATGTATGAGGGTTTTATGTTCAATTATTTTGCCTTTATGGCCTTTAAATTTTTAGAATTTTGTGGAGATTTATTTCATGATGAACATCATATTTTGATACTGGATAATTGTCATATCATTGTCATTAATGGCGATTTTGTGACAGGCTTACACGGGCATGCATAATAGGTTGTAAGAAGAGGGCTCAAGTGACGCTCTTAATGAAGTGTGAAAGGTATAGAGGTTAAGATGGAATACTTTCTTGATAAAATGTTAGGAGGGTACAAATAAATTTAGGATATACTTATTTGTTTATCAGCCTTAAATGTAAAAGGTATAGAGGTTAAGATGGAACACACTCTACAAAATGTCATGAGGGTACACATAAATTTGATCGATAAAAAATTCATGTAGCATCGAGACGAAAAAGACTGTTAAAAAAATAATAAAGATGGAGTGTAAAATAAAGTTTAAAAATATAATTAACATGTGAAGACAACAATTCATATCTTAAAAGTTTAAAGAATATTGAAGATGGGAGGATGAAAAATAAAATTGAAAGAACATTAAATATACGAGGTGTATAACATGATTTGAAAGAAAATACTTATTAACTAATAAGATTTTAAGATTTTGGGTTCAAATTTTATATATAAAATAAAGAAAATATTTTATTAAAAATGGTTAATTAAGTTCTACAATAAAAATTAGTCATCGATAAAATTAGTAAATATTTTATATCAATAATATTATTAAAATAAAAAAGAAAGTAAATATTTCTTACTAATAATTAAATATAAAAAGGAATAGAATGTAGTTAGCTAATAGAATTAATGGTGTAAATAGAAAAGGCCCAAATATAATGGAACCGGCCAATTTATGTACAACTTTGATCAAGGTCAAAGAATTGAATCAAACTACGTACCCACACACTCACTGCCATGTGGTTTTCAAGGGGTTCCAAACAACCATTGGATTTCCAATTTTTTTCCCACAATCTCACCCACTCACTCATACACAATTGGTACAGTGATTCTTCGTTCTTTCTAAATCCTTGATGTTAAGGTTTTGTGTGTATAGGATGAACCATAAATATCTTAAAATCAAAGTAACTTAAAGACTTTTTATAGGATGAAGTTATAAAATATTATGATATTTGTATTTATCTTTTAATTTTTAATTTTAATTTTTTTCTAAAGTACAATGATGACACTTAATTACAAGATTATCTTTAGCAACAATTAGATTATAAAAGTGTATTCCTCTATCCTATTTTCTTTAAAGAAATATCTGAGAATATTAATTATTTATCTTGTAGTTCTTTAATAATAGAATTTTAGGAAGTGATAAAATATATACAAATTACACAAACGATTCACCCCTATTTATTTAAGAAGAAAAAGAAAAAGAAAACGATTTTGTGTATATAACTGCAGAAGATTAAGGCATCATTATAACAGTAATCATAAGAATATATATAATTGTAATAAATTATCCTTTCTCTCTGTCAGAGTTTCCCAACTACACAGCAAGGTATATATATTGTTCTCAATAATCTAAAAACGACATTCGCAATATATCATACTAGTGTCAAAGTTTTGAGCATTTGACTCCGCGTGATGCTAACGACAATTTGCGTATATGCTGAGATGAATTAATTGCTGAACGGGTCAGACACAAAATTTTCTTCCTTCTTGATTCAATGCCCATGTCAACTACACAGCAAAAGTTGAAGTCAACTATCTATCCACTAAGATTTTACCAAAATCATTAACTTCTAACCCAATCTATTAATTTTGTTGACACATTTTTTTTAATTAGTAGAATTTTAAGGAGGAGAGTCTTCCATTTTAAGGAGAGAACATGTCACAATAGAATGTTCCACGTTGCCTACCAGTAGACATAAATTTAAGATCAATTTATAGTTTGAAAAAAATATATTAATTTCCTCTAGCATTTATGCATTTTTTATAACACCTTGGTAAAAGAATACATCAAAAGATTAAATTAATAAATTAAATATTTCAAACGTGCTTTCATCTTCACATGTATTAATGTTTAATATCTTACATGCTTTTATGTTGTAATTTTAAATCATGTATTCATGTTTATATGCCATTTTATATCATATGTGTAATTAATTTGTCAACCAATTAAATGTTTTTTTAATTTATCCATTTTTTCTCAACTCTAGTTGTGCATATAGATTTATATATATTTGTACACTTCATCATACTATAAATAAAATAATATCATTTGTTGACTACTTATCATTTAATCAACTTGTTCAAAGTTTGAATCCAAGAACTAGCTAGAGATTTATAAAATTAAGGTTCAAAATGAGTAATAAACAAAATAACGTACATTTATATTAAAACGTTTTGCGGCTTAAACAGGAGTTCATTTGAATACTTGACAAAACAAATACAAAAACTTGTAATAAGCTCCGGGAAAGATAAAACAAAATAAAATATTAAAGAGTTGAATTATAGGCTTCAAAATTAAAATATTACTGTCGTTGTGGTAATTGTTTCTATCAATTAAAAAATATCTCAATTATCACGACACGAAACTGGAAAATTAAAACAAATTTTTTTTTCGTATTAATTTTAGAACACAAATCATTAATTGAATAGAGCAATGATATACTCTCCGAAAACGTATTCCGAATATTAAAATATTAATATTTTTTAATAAATGTATTATAAAATAATTATTTAATTTAATATTTTATAATTTAAATTATTATATTAATCGTTCGGAATGAATTTCGGAGGCATTCGGAGGCTCTATCATTTTTCAATTGAATATGTTATAGTGACTTATTTTAGTTATGCTGTGTTTGGAATTAATTGGAAATATGCTGTGAGATCCTTAGAATTCACATTTATAGGACATGTGACTTGGAAAAAGACCAACAATTGATAAATTTTGACAAAATTAATTTGAATTATATCCAAAAATGTGATTTGATAAATAAATTAAAAAAAACTACCTATTTATATATGTGTATTAACAAAAGCACCCTCGTAATTTAATATTATACATATCTTTATAATGATAATTAAACATCTATAAATAATTTTCTTATAATATTCATATAATATTAATTTTTATTAAATCAATTAACATAATATTATTTTATTTTAATTAATAATTATGAGTTCAAGTCTCAATTTTGTATAGGGATTTTATTGATTGGATTGGATGATTATGAAGAGAAAAATGATCCAATATTTTGAATCACTTTATTATTTTTTAATTCATCATCCAATCTAATTTTTAAAATTTAAAATTCTATTAAATCTAATATAAAGTTGTTTGGATTGGAATTTTTTATATTATTTTATTTTTTATTTTAAATAAAATATTAAATAAATGATAAACTATATAATAGATATAATAAAGTCATTATATAATTAATTGTTATATATGTCTTAAAAAAAAGTTGTCTTTAATTAAATATAATTTAATTTACTAAATAAGTAAAATTTATCATTTTATATCATGATATTATAAATATGCAAAAAAATAAAAATATGATCATCACAAGTGATGTAATAAATTTACAAAATAAAAAGGCATACTTATATATAAGTTGATTTTGTATTGGATTTTATCGGTTTTCAAAATAAAATACGAAATTAAATTCAATCTAATAAAAAAAATATTCTTATTTTATTATTTTATTACTTTTTTTTTACAAATTTTTATTGGATTAGATCATTATTAACAATTTATCACTTATAATCAATCCTTATATATTAAACTCAAATATATATTTTATGTGAAAGTATTTTTAGGATCGTATATATACAGGGAGAGAGAGTTAAAATGCATTTTTTTTTGTCTCTTATAACTACCCATTTACAATTTTAGTCTCTCCTTTTCTTAATAAGTAACTTTTGTCTCTCAATTCATAAAATTATTTAATTTTGATCCCCTTTGTCAATTAAATTATGACATGACATTAATGTTGATAATAATGTGACATTATAGGGACGATCCAACTCGAGAATTAGTATCGATAAGACAAAAAAAAATGTAATATTTTTTAAAAATGATATAAATTAACCTTATAAAAACTATTACTCATGATATTCATTATAAAATTCACATTTAAACTACTATCTCACCTAACATTTTATAATTATAATTTAAACTATATTATATTACTGATTGAGTTAAGTATTTTTAAATTCTTTATCTAGTATTAATATAATTTAAAAATTAATAAATAAAAAATTTTCTTTATAAAATAATATTTATTTATGTAAATCAATTATATAATTTATTATTTAATACATTGTTTATACAATAGACATAAACATACATTAAAATCATATTAAACAATAAAATTTATATTTATTAGATAAAAAAATATAGAAAAAACACACATTGAAGGAATGTATATAATTTACTATTTAATATATTTTTATATATTAAATATAAATATACAAAAAAAACAAAATACAATATTTTTATCTTTTATTTATTTTTTAACTGTAATTTTCTCTCTTTTTTTAATACAACAATAATATCGTATTATCTAGTTTAATATATAATAAATTTACATTATTTTTTTATGAATTCTTTTTTTATATAATATACATACTAATATTATATTATTACTCTATTTTTATCTAATAAATATATATTTTATAAATATTATTCAAGTTATAACTTTATAAATTAAGTATCTTGGTGATTTAAATAGTAACTTTTATAAATCTCATGAGTTCTAATTCACATAAGGCTAGTTTTACTATTTATTAAATAAATTTTATATTTTCTTATTATGTTAACATCATATATTTGATTGATAAAGAGAATAAAAATGTATAATAAACTCTTATATATTAAATACAAATTTTTATATTGTACAAAAATGTTTTTGAAAGTTTTTCTTTGTTGAAAATTTTTCTTTCACGAAAGTATTTTTAGAAAATTTTTTAACTTCATATCTATTTTATTTTTACTTGTCATAATTATTTATGAATTAAAATTTAATATTTTAGAAATAAATTATCAATAAATAAAAATAATATTATGTTATTATAA